GCAAGAAAGTTGAAAAAAGAGGCCAAAAGAATCCCAAGAAGGGAAAGAAAAAGAAGGATCCAGGAGTGCCCAATTTAGCACCATTTAAGGAGAAGGTAATTGAGGAAGCACAAGCTGAAAAGCAACGCATCCAGCAACTGCGTGAGAAAAAGCGAGAGGAGTTCAAAGCCCAAAGAAGGGCCAAGGATGGGTCATCCACCTCAAATTCCCTTAATGACCTGGTTTCAGCAGTGCAAACAAAAAATGAGGAATATGAAAGTATGGCTCAAGCTAACAGTTCGACTGATCCATCTGCAAAGGCATTTTACAAGGAATTCAGAAAGGTGAGTGTTGCAATTGGGTCAGGGTGTACTTTCCTACCTAACATGAGAAAAATTATTGCACACCATTTGTCATGTTTAAGGCAGGACATATATTAAATAATCACAAAACAGGCAGGTTCATGCTCTTACCTTCAAATTTTTTATAATAAGTTGGCGAGCTCCCGAGCGCTGCACACACACACAGCAGCTGTGACACTGGCACCATTACTGTGCGTGGTCACAACATAACTGTGCATCAAGTAGCATGAAGAACCATAAAAATGTAGGGTGCCAAGGCAACAAGATTCCATGAAATTTGATCTTTGATGCCAAGGGGAGGATGGTCTGCAGGGGGATTGGGTGGGGAATGTAAAGCAAAATGAGAACATGGCAGCTAAATAAAAGCTCACTATATGGTACCTATATGTGGCATGAAACATGAATGCCAATGGGATGCTGGGTTTGAAGGAGACATAGGGTGGGGAGGTTAGGTTAGGTTAGGTTAGGTTAGGTTAGGTTAGGTTAGGTTAGGTTAGGTTAGGTTAGGTTAGGTTAGGTTAGGTTAGGTTAGGTTAGGTTAGGTTAGGTAGGCTAGGCTAGGCTAGGCTAGGCTAGGCTAGGCTAGGCTAGGTTAGGTTAGGTTAGGTTAGGTTAGGTTAGGTTAGGTTAGGTTCTGGTCTATTCTTGGTTAGGTTGGCTTAGCTTAGCTTAGGTTCTGGTCTATTCTCAGTTAGGTTAGGTTAGGTTATAGGTAAGGTAAGGTAAGTTAGGTTAGGTTAGGTTAGGCTAGGTTAGGCCAGGCTAGGCTAGTCTTGGCTAGGCTAGGCTAGTTTAGGCTATGTTCTGGACTATTCTAGCCTATGTGTTTCATAAACGTACCTTGACGCGATAAGAAACAATTTTCATTGCATTATTATTGTTACCTTGGTCCCATACATTTTTAAGTTCTTGGTAAGCAGAAATATTGTAAGTACACAACGGCAATGCAGAAATGGCACTGGGGAGTCCAGGCAGTGTGGTGTGTGCCGCGCCAGGAGCTTGCCATCGAAGTTATGAAAATTTGAAGGCAGGAGCATGATTCTACCTGTTTTGAGATTATTTACTATATGTTCCGCCTTAAACATGACAAATGGTGTACAATAATTTTTTTTCTAATGTGAGGTAGGAAAGTACACCTACACTTGCAGTTGTACTTTGGGTGTGTGTGATTATGGCATGGTTTCAAGTTGATGGCTTGATAACCTTGTAGTACATTGTGTTGAAAGTGCACTGTATAAACCCTCAATATGGCTTGTTTTATACCTGTCTTCTCATCGGTTTCTGCTGTGGGGTTTCTCCATGTTTGTAAGCTGCATTAAGTACTGGGTTAAATCTATTTGCTTAGTATGGCTGACAGCTGCACAGGGCTACGCAGAGACATGGGAAAACAAGTTAATCAGTTATACCAGGTGATAAAATCATGCATCTTTATCATCTGCTGTGGGTCTGAGGCTGAAATGTATTGTGCAAAGGCATTTGCCATCATCCATTGATAATATTTTTTACTGAAATCAAACAATGCATTACCTGGTGTCTCTTCCAAAAACACATATAGAGATACAATCTAACTATTAATTGAATGTTAGAAAACAATAATGTATCTACCTAGTTCACCTACCTCCCCTGTCCCCTGTTAAACTGCCTTCCTTGTGCCTTTGGCATTTGCATCTAAGGTCATAATTTGTGAAGTCTGCTTGAAATGTGCATATACATCTGAAGTGCAGTGTATTTCTGAAATGTCATGGATAGCTGCATTTACCTGCAGCAAAACTGCATGGACATAGACTACTGTGCTCAAGTTGTTTATAGATGGCTTGCAGCAGGTATGTTTTGACTCTGTCACTATAGCTGTATTTTTGTCATAGGTGCCAATTTAGCTATTTGGCAGCAGCAGCTGTTTTGCCACATGTTGTTTCATGAGTGTAAAATGCTACTTTAAAAACTTTTAACTGAATCCTGGGACACTCCCTCTAATTAGGTGCATTATCAATATTAATTGCTGAAGTAGTTTTCCAAGATGAATCTTGTTTACCTGTCTGTTCTTTTATGCTCTACTCAAGTCCTTGCAAATGATTGAACCTTTATTTTCTATGTATAGCCACTTAATCATGAGGAACTGTTATGAGAAGAAGCACATGAAGGTAGACACAGCAGAAACATTTGCCTGTAGGTTGTTAGTTCCCAACCTTTAGGCAATCAGCCCTCTTCATCCTGCTAGGCCAACATTGCTGGAATTGTTTAATTGTCACCTGCCCCTATCACCTGTCTGTCACCTGTCACCTCACCTGCCGCCCCCACAGGTGGTGGAATCCGCGGACGTGGTGATCGAGGTGCTGGACGCGCGTGACCCGCTTGGCACGCGCAGCAAGGAGGTGGAGCAGACGGTGCTGGCAGCTGGCAGCTCCAAGCGGCTGGTGCTGCTGCTCAACAAGGCGGACCTGGTGCCCTCGCGAGAACCTGGCCGCCTGGGTCAAGTGAGTGGGGCAGGGCGCGCGCGCGGCGTCGCCGCCGGAGCGTAGCAGGGAGGAGTGGTGGCTGTCTGGGTGGAGTGGGTGCGGTATATGCTGCCTAGTGGATGCTGTGGTTGGCACCATCACCAACACAAAGACGGCTGGAAAAGCAGCATGGTGATCTCATCCGCGTTTTATGGTGATTTTAAAGATATTTCAGCGGAGGACAGACGTTCTGTCAGGCACCTCGCCTGATGGAACGTGAATGCGGGCTCCCTCGCCCACTCGCACACGCATCCCCAATATGTTGTGTTTGCCAGACAGCGCTGGCCTGAGCATCCGTGGCGTCTTAACCCTGGCGTGGACGACAGGCTAGCTCGCGACAGTAGCAGCAACAGTGCTAACGCCACGCATCGGTCGGGCGGAGTGACTGTGCTGGGCGTACATGAGACGAGCATCCAATGTCAAGCGGAAGACCTGTACATGAAAGCACACGGGAAAAGAGCGGGCTAATTTCAGAACAGCGGAAGCGTATTGTGAAAACGGGTGACATTGCCAACCAAAAATCATCCGTTGGGCACAGCTCGTAGCCGAACAGGAAGTGCTGTTGAGCTTCGTAGTCGCCGGGTGGCTGGTCATGCTGCGTAGCTGGTTCTAAACAGGTACTATTTGCAACAACGCAGAAGTGCATGACATCGCCATGGGAGATGGATTGCTGCTGGGTGATCATGACAGTCAACATTCTAGCTGTACTGACATGGGCCCGAAGTTTGATTATGTGGTATGCGTCGTACACTATAGTTCTAATTCTGGATTTTAGGATCAGATCTCCACATAATTAGCATACGACACATGCGGCTGCGGATCAGGGGCTTGAAATGACATTCAGCGGCCTTTCCAGCGAGGTGCTTCCAGCGCGCGCTGGTTAGCACCTGTAAAATGTGTTTCCAGCGATGTGTCAGACGTCATACACTGTAGCTCTGAGCATCGCGGCCTTCGTCCCCCTCCCCCCCCCCCCCCCCGCCGACCAATGCTCTGGGCAGCCGCTCGCCCTCCGAGAGTCGAGAGTCACAGCCCAGCCTCCCCGCCGCCAGGTACCTGCGCGGCGAGTTCCCGACGGTGGCGTTCAAGGCCAGCACGCAGCAGCAAAGTCGCAACCTGGGCCAGAGCGCGCTGGACGTGCTTAGCTGCCCGGAGCCGCTGCTGCAGTCGCAGCGCTGCCTCGGCGCCGCCACGCTCATGAAGCTGCTCGGCAACTACTGCCGCAACCGCGGCATCAGCACCAGCATCGCCGTCGGCGTGGTCGGCCTGCCCAACGTCGGCAAGAGCAGCGTCATCAACAGCCTGAAGAGGAGCCGCGCGTGCGGCGTCGGCGCCACGCCGGGGGTGACGCGCGCCGTGCAGGAGATCCAGCTGGACGCCAAGATCAAGCTGCTGGACTCTCCGGGCATGGTGCTGCAGACGGGTGACGCGGGCGACGCGGCCACGGCGCTGCGCAACGCCTTCAAGATCGAGCAGCTGGACGACCCGGCACTGCCGGTGGAGGCCATTCTGCGGCGCGCCGACCGGCGTCAGCTGATGCTGCACTACCGGCTGCCCATGTTCAGCACGACGGCCGAGTTCCTGCTGCTGCTGGCGCGGCGCCAGGGACGGCTGAAGCGAGGCGGCGTGCCGGACGCCGCCGCCGCCGCGCGCCTCGTGCTGCAGGATTGGAACACCGGTCGTATCAAGTACTACACGCACCCGCCGGCGGCGGCGGCGGCGGTCGGCGACGCGACCATCGTGGACCCAGATGGCGGCCGAGTTCGACCTGGACGCGCTGGCGGCCGAGGCGGACGCCGAGATGGAGGCGATGGAGGCGCCGCGCGCCTCGCAGGCGGTGCCGCTGGCCGCGTCCGCCGCCGAGACGCAAGAGACCGAGGAGATGGAGACCGGAGATCGGCGGCCGGCCGACGCCGGGGGACGGCTCCAGGTCGAGTTTACCGCCAAGAAGAAGACGAAGGGGGAGAAGGTCAGTGAGTTGCAGCAGGAGGAACAGCGAGTCATGACCAAGAAGGCCTACAAGGCTATGATGAAGAAGCGGAAGAAGACCAACGCGAGGACGGAGCGGAAGACGGACTCGCTGGCGGACGAGCTGGACCTGCAGCTCTAAGCGCGGTCTGAAGCGCCAGCGGCTGTTCTGGCGGATTTGTGAAGATATACATACATCGCTGGCTTGCACACTTGTATTCTTAGATTCATTTGGTTGCGGTCGGATCGAACTTCCGAGTTTCGAACGACGCGATGGTTTGTCATTGACGGCGTGGACATGCAGAGCACATTACCCGCGGTAACCACCGACGGACCGCAGCTTCGCAGCAGCCTCCATCAACACGGCGTCAGTCGCGATAACGACTCAGGCAGTACAAAACCCTGGCAAGCAGCGCACAACACGACCTGTTGCGCGCTTTACATGTCTACCATACACTAATATTGCACTTCGCTGCTACCATCAATGACCGTTGCTGGCGACGCCCCCTAAGCCCCGAAAACAGTACCCTTCCACCAGATCTCGCGAAGTCCCGTTTGCAACCAAGCGGCGCGCTATAAAGCTCGGCGAAAATATAATAATCATCTAAACCACACGTCACTCATTACTACCACGCACAGACTTGGGCTGCGACGGTCACCCACGAAGGTAGACAACGCCTAGCTGGTCAAGTGACAGGAACGCTACCGTCGCACCGGACCGAACACCGGGCGCTGCGCGCCGCACCCGAACCGGCGGCAACTCCCATACGACCGCCCGTCCCGCACCGACGTGCGGCCCTCTACGAACCGCCCGCGAACGGCCCTCTGCGCAAACACTTCATCCCGGCCCTCTACGACCTGCACAACAGAACACAATCATCCTGCGCCGACGCTGTCACGACCTCGAAGAAGCCGGCCTTCACGTCGTCCCGTTTCCGCTCAGTAGCGCCACGCGGCCGCAGCCCTGCCCCGCTCCAGCACTCCCAGCACCCGTGTCGGCCGCCGCCGGGCGGGCGGTCAGTAGTTGACCAGCTTTTTGACGGCCTCCAAACAGCGCCACTTGGTCGGCATGTAGAACGGCTCGTAGGCGAGCGGGAAGGGCGTGTCGTGGCCGGTGACCCGCTGCACGGGCGCCTCCATGTTCAGGAAGCACTCCGACTGCGGCGGCCGGCACACGACGGCGTCACACGAGGGCACACGAGGTCACGGCCGCGCGAGGGCGTTGCAGGGGCCGAAAGGGAGACTTCCGGATCGTGGTTAAGGTTGGAGTGTTGGGGGGCGGGATGCAAACGATTGAAACAAACGCCAGTCTCTCGGCGTTCAAAGACTGGATGTGTGGGTAGAACCAACAAACACCGAGAGAATAATGGTGTACCAGGATAACCAGGCTATTACGATGCTTAACGGAAACTAAGTACGCCGACCAAAATAATATGCACGTCCATCACTACCATGTGGTTACTGCAACTGGCCCATAGTTGCTGCCAGTCGCGAGCTCTCCTTTGACACGAACTGCATCAGGACCTCCATATTGACACAACACAGCACGACAAAATAGAGCATCTACGGACATGACAATCATCTGTGTGCTGACCATCCAGCATACAGCTGGGAGGGACCGGCGCGACAGTCGGGGGGGGCATTGCACCTGTATAGTGGCAGCCAGCTCGGCTCCGAAGCCGCCCGTCAGCGGCGCCTCGTGCGACACCAGACACCGGCCCGTCTTCATCACAGACTGCCGGACAGCGACACAACAGGCCGGTCAGCACGGGCTCGCGCGGCCGCCGCAGCACAAGCCGAGTGCCTCAGCGTATTGCTCGCGTTGACTGGTGCGAATACACGTACATGATGACAACTTTTGGACCCCAGGTAAACTGATGAACACTTGGCTTTTTACGCATAGACCAAATTGGCGCTGACAATTTTCGGATTTTTCCCATTTTTGACTTCACAGATAGGATCGAATGGAATGCCTGCATGCCGGTTGCATTGTTAAGTAGTACATATGCACGCCTAATTTCCACCGTTTGTAGAGCGCGACATGCCAATTGCACGTGATCCATACACTTTTTTACTCCAAGATACTCGTCATCGTAGAAATCTAGTACCACTCTTGCACTCTTTTGTAGTATGAGGCATCTGCGCTCGTCACACCAGTTTCGGCATGCCGCGGTCCAGCACAGGTCTTCAATCGCAACCAGCAGGGTCGCAAAAGCGACTTGGGCTTCCCGCTCTCGGCCCGCGCCCGGCTATTACGAGCTTCGATTACTCCGCCTTCGAACTTCCATCCAGTTCCGGCGGACTTAATTGCAGACCCCACTGACTGCTCGGTGCATTACACAGAAGTGGCGCGGACGCGACGCACGTGCTCTTCGAAGCTTGAATAAAAAAGATACCAGTGCGGCTCTTCGTAAAATATATGTCTAAATTTGTTGAGACTCTACATGCCAGTGCCAAGAAATAAGGCAGTACACGACGGACGCGGCAGGATGGGCCCAAGCGGGAGCCGGTGGTTATCCGACGGTCAGGCCCACTCCCGCGCTGCCAGCGCCACCTATACGAACCGCGCCGACGAGCCACCTGTCGCAGGCCTCCACAACTAAGTCCTCGGAATCCACACGCTGTTTTTGATCACAGGACTTGAGAGCTCAAGCTCATTCGTGACCCGCACACCGCAGCGACCATACAGCCGGTAACGTGACAACAAGGATCTTACCTCGACGTAAAATTTCAATAAAGCCCTGTGTACTCTAGGCCGGGCTTAACAAGTGAAACTACGACTCACACAATTCTGAGATCACAACGGATAATACTGGAGGTGAAGTTTCCAATTCAGTTTATGGGCAGCCCCATCTTTGAGAGGAAAGCGGACCAAATCCAGAGAGAAAGCCGATTGCTGGCGCATTTTTGCGGGAGATTTCGTCATTTCTCATGGCTTAGATCCAAACTTATTTTGCGAAACTACAACCCTGAATTACGCCATGAACTAGAAGCATGCACATCATCTTTGCAAATTTGACTCACAAGTAATCCCCAAAAGACTTCTAATAGCCTATGCACCCATACGATCCACATAAACGAGCAAACTCTTACTTCGCCTCGATAAACCGCCCCCAGCGGCGGCCCGCGCACGCTTCCAACCTTCATCACTGTCTCCCGGTCCCAGGGCAGGATGGAGACGAGGTCGATGACCTCGCACGAGACGCTCAGCCTCTCGGCCGCCAGGTCAGCCACCTCGCGCAGCACGTGCACCTGGGTCCCCCAGCCAACCAGAGTGACGTCATCACCTGCGGCAAGTGATGCCACCGATTAACTCTTCGCAAACGTGTCGTCGTGCACGCGTGCGATTGTTTTACAGCAGAAACTGGTGACGTAGAGCACAACGTGTAGCGCGTAACAAAATGAAGCTCAATCAAAGCTAACTTTAATTTTTATTTTTTATTTTACAGTAATCAATTTCTCTTCACAAAAATAGGTTGTAATGACGCATCTGTTGAAAAGCGATTGCCATTTCCACCAAAATTTCATCAACACTAGCAGTAAAAACCATGCATGCGCTCCTGCTATTGCATTAAAGAAGTCCTGCAGCACTCAACGCATGATGTCTGCCCACCAGCAGCATGGCGAAACAACGCATCGCAACGGGACCATCGAGCACAGCCTATACCACCGACGAAGAAAGGCTTGCTGCCACATCAACACGCCCATACATCCTTAACAGCTTGCCGGAACCAGCTGGCAGAAAAAAAAAAAACATAAGCTCACGATCCCCAAACACACCGAAATTCCCTTACACCCCGCATGGAGACCAGCATCCCCCCCTCCGGCAGCACACCGGCGTGAACTCCACGCGCTCTGCCGGCCAGCTCACCCTCGACGAGGACGTCGGCCTTGCCGATCGGCTCCGTGTACTCGGCGACGGGCACCTCCTCCACGGCGGAGCGGTAGAGCACCTTGGGCTCGAAGAAGACGCACGGGTTTGGGTCGCGGATGCACGACAGCAGCAGGCCCTTGGCCTTGATCGGGCCGCGCGGGATCACCACCTGGCCGAGACCGCACCGTTACGATGGTGGTGATGACGGTGATGATGGCGATGATGAGGATGATGGTGATGTCTTGAAGAAAGTGCATGGCGCCTGTTCATGTACAGAGAGCATGTTGATATGGGTTCCATCTGAGGCGTTCTCAAACTATTTTCCGACTCCATACCAACGATCTGAGTAAGAAGCAACGACTTCCCAAATCCGGGCTGGCACATCATCACTGCTACCCGCCAGACCGACAGAAGTCGCGCATAAACCCTGAACTTCCAGTTTTTTTTCCAACCCAAAACACGGCATCGACGACGACGGCCACTCGCCACCGCCGCTGCTGATACCAACAGCCCTCAGCGCCGCCCGTGACGCCGCATCGCACCTTGATGCCGGGCACGTGCGCGAAGAACGCCTCCGGCGACTGCGAGTGGTACAGCGCGCCGTGGCCCACGGCCATGCAGGGCGCGCGCAGCGTGAGCTTGCCGCAGTTGAATTGGCCACCGGAGCGGTACCGGAACTTGGAGCCCTCGTTCACGATCTGGAGAGGGGGGGGGGGGGCGCCGGCCGTCACAGCCTCGCACAGGGCGGCCTGCTAGTGCGCCAGGGAGCTCGCGGCGCGTTCTCGAGGTCAGCCACTCAATGACATCATCTGCGGTCGTACACGCAATAAGTTCATACCCTGGCAGGCGCGCCGCCACGGCAATAATCCACGTGTCGTGAGGTTATCATCTGGGTTTTCCTGAAGACGCTACACGACGCTACAGTCATCACAAAAGGACAGCCACGGAAAGACACAGGCCGGTAATGCGTATCCGCATCAACTCTGCAGCATTGATCGCGAGATAAGCATACATACGGGTGTCATGATTAGCCTGTGAGCACGACGGGAGAAAATCTGTCCTCATTGATCAACCTCCCGAGCCCTTCGGTTGCGAAATATCAGGACGCAGGCGGTCGGGCCCACGTTCTGCTTTTAGGCGACTTGCAGAACATCTCAGTCCCCGAATTTTTTTTCAATATCCGCCAGCAGGAAACGCCATGCAACTGTATCGCTGATGCAATGTCTGTAATACGCTTACAGGCAAGGCCGTAAATCGAGGCAGCCTCTTTTGGAATGCGATTCAGTTTTGAGCTTGAGCCGTCTTTTACCTCCTGCCCTTTTCGCGGAAGACAGCGGGTATAAGAGGGGCGGTGGAGGGTGGTGTGGTGCAAGAAGAGAAGCATGGAAGGTGAGGATGGGGTGTGGGTGTGGGTGTGGGGTGGGGTGTGGTGGGGTGGGTGGGGTGTGGGTGGTGGGGTGTGGGTGGGGGTGGTGGGTGTGGGGTGGGGGTGGGTGTGTGGGTGTGGGTGTGGGTGTGGTGTGGTGGTGTGGTGGGTGTGGGTGTGGGATGGGTGGGGTGCGGTAGGGTGTGGGTGGAGTGTGGCTGTGGGTGTGGGTGTGTGTGGGTGTGGGTGTGGGGTGGGGTGTGTGGGTGTGGTGGGGTGGGTGTGGGTGCAGTGTGGTTGTGAATATGAGTGTGGGTGGGGTGGGGTAGGGGTGGGTGGGAGTGGAAGGGTGGGGGGAGGCAGCTTTCAGGTGGCCCCACCTGGTCGAAGGCCGGGTATATGTAGTCAGCGAACTGGATCTCGGCGATGGCCGTGGCACCGGCTGCGGCCAGGCCGATGCCGAAGGCGGCGATGCCTTGCTCACAGAGCGGCGTGTTGAACACACGGTCTGCGCCGTGCCTGCGGCAGGGAGACGGCCGGTCAGATGGGGACTGTCCAGCACAGCCTCGAGAACCCGCGATGGGTGAGATTGGACGACGCTCAGGCGTGGGCCACTGACAGGGAGAGGTGGGAATATTCCCAGATGGGTGAGTGCAGATGTTGAGTGAATATGGTATTCTGTTATTTGGAAGACAGTTTTTACATGTTTTACTGAGCATGCATGTAAGTTCTTGCACACAAATATAAGAAGCATATTGAGGTGCTTTTCTGACCCTGTTTACAGTTGCACAGAAAAACCCATGTCAGGCTCCCAGCAGGTACCTCAATATTTTTGTCAACACAATTGTCTTTTGTGATTATTAAATGACCTATGCCTTTTGTTAAATTAAGTGCCTTCTTACAACGGTCTGTACATAATCATATAGAAGACCACACACTTGTCCTGGAGTCCAACGGTGCAGCGGAAGACACCTCCAAACCCGACGTCCTCTCCAAAGACGACTGCTGTGCTGTCTGTGGTGAGCGCTGTGTCCAGAGCGTTGTTAACTGCTTGGAACAGGTTCATCCGAGTTGTCTCTCCTGGAAGTGAAGAATATCCTTTTCACACAATCTGCTCCAAAAATGATCAGACAACCACACAACAGACAAAAGATGGCCAAAAAGTTCACACTACACCTCAAGCATGATCATCTGAGGCATTGGTCACCTGAAAGTCAGAGCATCATGAATAAATTTGCCACAATCAATAGGTCACCAGTCAACTGGATAAAAAAGGCCTGAGGGCATGTGGACTTATTGAAACTTCAGCAACATAGTATATGGTAGGTATTCCCAAAATACTAGGCAATGGCAAATGCCTGGCAGGGTCTGCATGTTCCCAGAACTCATAACAATGAGGCCTTCAACATGGGATCAGGCCTGCTTTGATGGGCAGCATGCCAAAAAAGACAATGACAACTTGCACCCAAAGCAATTGCCTGCAAGCACACTTGAGGAAGAAGCACAAGCCAATGGGATTGTCAAAGTAACTGACTGCACATTCAAGTTGCAATGTCTACATGTCTGTTAGTAAGGCTGAAATTGTAAAGGTTTGTCATAGCTGGCTAGGGCTTCATATGGGTTGACTAATCCTCTCCCAGTTTGCACTTGCTGCATGTGACTTTTGTCAGCCATGGTGACTAAAATGGTTTACCTCAGTGGAATGTGTGATAAAAAAGGTTCTCCATGTTGCCACAGAAGGCTGGCATGGTGTCCATTATAAAACATTCAGTTTCATGGAATGAAAAATCTATAAAAAAACACTTGGGAAATGTCTTGTTGCCTTGTGGGCAACACAAAAATACACTTCTCACAACTCACATTTAGTGTTACATGTTCCTAGTAATACAAGCTTATCGGTTAGGCTAGATTGGATAAAAACCTGATGAAAATTGCCTCGCCTTTAAACATGAGAGCTGTGCATTCTTAATCTGTAACCAAATTTTGATAACCACTAGCATTGCAGCATCAATAACTGCATTCCCACCATAACACACGGCTTACATTAGTTCCAAATAATGTATTCCCCCCCCCCATATCCATTAGTAGAGCACCACACCCACTGACCAGTGAGCATCAAGCATACTACTAAGATGCCAACACGCCTTGCCACATCTTTGAAGATCAATGGGAAAACTGTAGGCTGATAAGATTCCTAGACAGACCTCAGAATCTTAGTAGATTACACATGTAAGTTCCACCTGCTGGCCATGGCGGAAGCAAAACCGAAGCCTGCCAGATGCTGGCAGTTGTGAGATGGTCTTTGGCCAACATAGACATTTGCATGCTACCACTGCTTTGCAAGACAACAATATCCCTGTATTTTGAGTATGGCAACATCATCTGGGCCCCTCAGCAAACAGCACCAGGAGTAGCTGGAGTAGGTTAAGCAACAGATGCACATCTTGTCCACAAAGTGAGGCAATACCACATCCTTGGAGGCTCGGACCCCTCCAGCTGCACTCGCTGCTCCATCAATGTACCGTCAATGTACCATCAATGCTGTACCAACAATGCTGTACCATCAATACTCTACTATCAATGCTCAGGAGACATGGTTGCAGTGTTTCAAATGTTTCAGGAGGCAGAGGCATGTTGCCTGCTAGTGAAGGAGTTGGTGACAAGACACAATTTGGAGGATGAGAGGACACCAATGGAAGACAAGACATAAAAAACATAGAGGTAGCTCTGATCACTTTGTCCCTTTTATCCCAGGCTGTGGTGTTTTAAATTCCTTATCATCATGAAGTATAAGATAAAAGCAAGTCCAATGTTGGCATTGACACACAACTACATTTTGTATGAAATGTGAATATTCTATTAAGACCTGCTCACTGAAATGACTACTTCACTGGGGTGATGGGGATGATCTGCACAGCAAGCCACCAATCAGCACAGACTCTGGGTCCAATGCGTCCTGCCGACAGCACTTGGTCAAACTTCCATCAAATGTGCTGTAAATTGCACTGATCCATACCTTGAGCCTCAGACACCGTGTCAGGAAAATATGTAAAATGAGATGCGCATCTGATTGCAGCTTTTTGACAATGAACACCTGCAACTTTCCAGCCCGGCTTAATATGTCTTGCAATCGAGCGAATTGTCGCCATTTTTCTTTATCTTGTGACACAAATTGGCAACGAATCTGCCCAACTTTAGTCTGATGTTATAGCGTACAAACAAATACCTTGCTAACCAGTCAGCAAGATGAAATAATAATAAATATAAATATAGGCCGTTGCCGACTTTCACAGTATATGGCCTTGATCGGAATAATAATAAGCGAAATGCTGTGTGCAATATATTGTCTGTATAGCGCTACAGTTGTATTCATGGGCAGAAGGAAAAACTAATCTACTGCAAATAGGTCTTCAGATTCGGTACCATTTGGCATCAGAAACCATTTTTGTTCTTTTGCGTACAGTAAGCCGGGAATATGATTTCCAGAACGTCTTCTACCGTGAGGCTATGGTCCCTGCTGTAAGTTGTTCCCCTCCCATCCAGCGATCAGTTAGGTTTCTTCATGGCTCTTCCGCTATGGCCCGACAAGTGTAACCGAATTCGCTCCTGTTGCTCGTCTGGCTAACTGTTTATCTGCCTGTTTGTATGTCTGCATCCCTTTATATGCCTGCACTGATTGCGGTGAATTTACGCTGGAAACGGGTTCAATAAGGCTCACTTTTATGATGTTCCACGCCAGAAATCCACACCGGTCCGATACAATTGTCATTTAAAAAAGAGAACTCAAAAAACGTCGTCACGCGTCGAACTCAACGAACGTCGCCGCCTTTTGAGCGCCGGCGACTGCATTGACCATATTATCGCTCAAAGGCTACGACACAACCGCGATTCGAACCCGGGCTCCCCAAGTGGGAGTTCGACGCACTAGCCACTATGCCTATCGACACAAGTGTCAGTCACAGCGAGTGCAAAGGGGTGCGATAGAAAGGCCCAGTTGGTAGAGCACCGGGCTCACGATTAGAAACCGTGGTTCGAGTCTCAGTAATTCCATTGAGAGAATTCGCGTCGTGACGCGCACGTGAGTAAAAGCCGAACGCAATCCAGGTCTTCTCAGGACCCATAGCATCTCACGACGGCCGGAGAGGTGATCGTCATGATTAAACTCAAGAACATCGCGATCTTTTCCCTGGACAGTTTTTAGGGAGCCGCCTCGTAGTCCGCGTTTCTGACCTATTAATCTGTCATGCTGCGTTCAGACAACCGAACGGGCGCCATGAGACCAGATGGCACCTTCCTGGATTGACTGCAGCATTCAAAGAAACAGTTATAATGTGTAGTCGGCAGTTATCGGTCGTAACGTGATTGCAATGCGATAATGAAAGCAACGCGAAACGTGTTTCTGTACGTAACCATGCAGCATGGAGACACGCCACGTCTCCCAGTTCAGCTCTAGAATGCCAAAGACATGAATGTTGCGCAAGTCTCACGGCAGCAATAACGTTGTCCGCTGCCTCCTTCCGTACCACGCTCTTGTTGGCAGCTATCATGACCACAAGTACTTGTCGCGATGCGTGAAACACGCGTTATGTTGCGCGATGTAACGAGTCACATCTTGAACATGTTTGGCTAAAGCCCAAGCGGCTCCACGACGCAGAAGGAGGTGAACATTACCACTTTTAAATTGTGTTGCGCTTTTAGGTTAACCCACATGTGGCTCTGCACTTGCTGTACGAAGGTGACTATCTTCTTCATATACCACTTGGACCCACTCCTGGTATACAGAGCGAGGGTAGTCACGGCTATTGTTAACCAGCGGGAGTGGATGAGGAACCTAGGTTGCTGTGGTTCTTTGATGCCTGCTTCCAGCCGCTCGCTCCCGCCTGACAGTGACATCCTGATAGCACATGGTGACGTTACTGACGGTTATGCCGCAGCATCCTGCTGTCTGTGTTGGCTTGCTTGCTAGGTGTGATTTCACCGGCTTAACGCTGCTGGGTGAGTGCATTATCAGTGACAAATTCGGTTACGTTTCTTGAATATGCTGTTAAACGCAACGAATAGTAAACTGATGTTTGGTTTAAACTGAGACAAGAATACTGCTCACTCCAGGAGCTAGCTGCGTCCATTTATTGCATCGTGCCACATAGAAGTGGTAATATCCAGCTCATGGAATGACGTAATGAATTACTTTATCACACTGATGGGAATGTCACGACACGTCAACGACTGACTGCTTTAAGAATGCTCACATGGTTACGAGTGTACATCTGGTATTGCTTCAGTATAGATAAATGCATTTATAACGACCCAACAACCAGTAAGAATTATTGTGGGGAATGGCTAGGGCATGACTACCTCGTTTCAGGCAAGAATCCCTCTTCGGAAACAAAGTATTTTACATACCGTGTTAAATTCAACGACGTTTTGAAAGTAAAGTGTCCAAACCCCAATTTTATGTTGTGGTCAGCATGAAATGTGGCCGCTGATGTCATGGCCGTTTATCGGACCAGACACCGCGTGGCTTAAGACGGTCCCTCCTTGGGAATTTCCCTGACCTACCATTCCTGCAGCGTAATTACTACCGCCCTATCCGCGCGGCGGGTTTCGCCTGACGCCAAAGCGCCGTCGCTGGGACTGGCCCCACTGCGACTGCGGCGGCGCGACTTCGTGGAGGACTCCAACGCCTGGTGCATGTGGCAGCTGTTCATTTGGCGCCGGGGCTCCCACGATCAGCTGGCCAGCTTTTGAGAAGTTTTGATCTAAGTTAGAAGACGAGTTTTAACGGCCGTTCGTTGCGATTACACATGTAACGACGTTGCACTTACAATTTCAGTACGAAATCGGCCTTATATTTTTATATATGAGATATATCATTATACTTATATTTTTGGTTGTTCCTCATCAGATATCAAAATAGAATGGCGCAATCCGAGGAGGCATTTTGATTCGGGTTATGTAAGGTGAGCCCATGCTTAGGATCTTCTAGAACGGCGGAGTTTCCCAATCGAAATTAAATAAAAATACTGGAAATATTTACATAGTGTGCGCAGCAGTCCCCAACGCGATTCGAGAACAACCACCCGCCCTCTGTCCTGGCACGGCGCCGCTGGGCGCCGGCGGCACTTGTCACGCTTGGCCTCCTGGACCGACGGAAGCGACACAGGGCGTACGCGTGCGCCGGTGACCGCGCGATCCGGGTCAGCTGGCCCGGGCATGACGTCTGCGCCACCCCGCGCGCCTTCAAAAAGGGACGACGATACGGTGTGATATACATGATTACCGGGCATCGTGATTATCGGTAATGTGTTGTATACATATATATATATATATATATATATATATATATATATATATATGTGTGTGGTGTATATTCATATATATATATATATATATATATATATATTACGCTTCTGAAAGTTCCTACATTAAGCAATCGCTCTTCCTGTGGCGAAACATTTGTGGTTTGCGCCTTCATTCCAATCATTATTATGACTGCTGTAAATGTACCGACTTGACCTGCACGCATCGAACGTATTCTGGCGATAATAAGCTCCACGGTTAGCTACATCTGAGTGGGCTTTCCAATCTGGGTAAGATGCTTACACCAAGGATTTCGCTACGGCAAATGAAATTCGTTAGTCGCCATGATTGCTAATGCTTACATGGGGTGCTTAGGACAGCAGTCTCACCTACCTGCCATGACATGTGGCTTAAACATCCGTCAGAATCAGCCCGCCAACGCCCGGCTTCGTTCGTCACAGCCGCGTGGCACTTGACCTTACTGATCCTCTAGTTGGAAAACCCTCCGATTTAACAAAGCTTATGCACAACATGGAGTTTGTAAACTCGACATTTCACGAAGGCAGCTCCGAATTAGTGTCACCGGTCAGGACGCGCCATCCACAGTGGTGCGCCTGGCCCTCAGCAGACGGATGGTGAAGGTTGCCAGAGCGGCTGATCTACAGGGGTGCGCCTGGCCCACAGCAGATGGGTGGTGTAAGGTGCTGGGGCGGCTGATCCACAGTGGTCCGCCTGGCCCTCAGCAGACTGGTGGTGAAGGTTGCCAGAACGGCTGATCTACAGGGGTGCGCCTGGCCCTCAGCAGATGGGTGGTGTAAGGTGCTGGGGCGGCTGATCTACAGGGGTGCGTCTGGCCCTCAACAGATGGGTGATGTTGGCTTGATAATAGCGATATGCTCAAGCCGCTTCCAGTTGCATGCGCTTCAGACTTGATTTTATGATACAGTGAATACGAATAAAGTCCGGTTGTCAACAGAGAACCCTGAGACGCACCGAACCGGTTCGTACGTGGATGGCTGACTGGGCATCGCTTTCGTGAAACCAAAACCGATGACCAAGGATATCACTTATGAAGGAAAGAAAATGACTGACTCCTACCCAAAGCAGCGCCTTAGAAACATTGGACAGAGAATTTCTGTCAGTTATGTGAAAGATGCGGGTTATAATTTTATTTTATCTTTTTTCATGATAATTTCTCGCTTTCATAGGCTGAGCCTGATTCCATTATTGCATTTTGACGACCAAAAACATGGTCTCAAAAACTTCTTTTTCGCCATCTCACCAAATCTTAGACGGCCTGGGTTTGAGGGCCGATTTCCAAAGCAGGAACAGAACTGTGGATAGCGATTTCTGTTGGTCGAGCCCCTGAGTCAATGAGTGCCCCGCTGTCGGTCAGGGGCCCGCAATGCCTAACAGGGGGTCCTGTATTGACAAGAGCCCCAGAGTCGGACAGGGGCAGTGTCTCAAGGGCCCGCAGAGGGAACCGAGGGACCCTTCGACACCGGCGATCAAGGATCTGATCGTGAGGAACCGAAGGGCACGAAGAGCTAGTTGTAGGTCAGAGAACACCTTGCGCCGACTGAGACTCTGGGCCAACGCTAGCGTCTACTTCGGCCGGAGGCCACCAGCGCTAAACGGTTGGCTCCGTGTCGGCTTGAGTCCTAGGGCCTACTTCCCGAGCAGGAGCGAGGCTGGTGCACGCAGTTTGCACCGATCGAGGTCCTTGAAACAATGAGGGGGCCTGTGTTGATTAGGGGACCTCAGTGACCAACAAGGGCTCCTGTGTTAATAAGGGGTCATGTGTTGACCCGGGGGAGCATTTGTTTAAAATAAAACGGGACCGGACCCCGAATGCCAGAAGGCTTTTTGCGTTGGTCGGGGCCCTCTGACAAGGAAAACACGTGTGAGTTACAAGAGTTCACACTGAGGAAAAAAGGTGTCAGTCAGTCAGTCAGTCAGTCAGTCAGTCAGCCTGTGCCAGTTAGGGCCCCTGTTTGGAACAGAGTACATTCACCCCATTTAAACTAGGCGTTCATTGAGCCGAACTTAAGTCCCTGCGTAACCATCGGACAATCTGCGGGGATGAGAGACGTTGTCATGCGCGTCAAGGATGATGTGTGATGGGAAGGGATAGTGTATGATGCATCCTTCTAAGGGCCCTGGATCGAGCTGGGGAACCAGCCTCAGTGACGTCAGAATGGCAGTCGGTACTCGCCCCGCGCTTGGATCGATTAGCCCCTCAACCCCTGTCCGGGAACGATACAGTGCCTCTTAGTGTTTTACCCACGGCGCCCTTTGTCTGGAAAAAAGGTAAGGGTTCCTATAAGTGTTTGGTATGGTCGATTGAAACGAGGTCAAAAAAGATAAAAGACCAACACATGTTTGTTGCGGGACGTCCATAATTTTCAGAATCGACTAGCGAAGCACTTCAATCTAAACAATTTTTGAGTCTGTGCGTTCGCAGTCTTAGGAGCGAGAACAGCTGTGGGCGTGGTTACAGCGTCTGCAAAACCGAACGGCCTTAGCCGACGCACCTATCACCGGGCGGTAAGTGCCGGAGTGCGAGAGCGGCCGCCCTGAAAAAGTATTCCGAATCTATTTCAAAAGTGATGTGTGCCGTTGAAAAAATGAGACTGGGCGTGAACTTCGTTTGAAGTCTCGCGTTACTCTCTAAAAGCATTTACAGTTACAGCAACACGGAAAAAGAGATTGCTCCTTTACGCCTCCAGTTCCACTACCAGAGTTCTGCTCTCGTTTGCCTTGTTGTGCATGCTAATCCGTCCCTATGGTAAATTTAGAAATTGCACAAGTGTTTTAAACATCAGAATTGCCTTCTACGAATATATGTGCTAAATCGTTCGGAAGTGCAGCTTTCAGAGGCGTCATCATTTGCATCCGCCTATTAGCCGGCGGTACTGGTGTAGCCGACGCCGCGCGGGTTATGGAGGACGCAACGCCGGGCGTCAGGGTTTTTGCTCCAAAAGCTCGCAAGCCGGCATGTTCTAAACCATTTAAGTAACTTTTTTCTTTGTTAGTTTTGTTAAAAATGCACAATAGTTTGTTACTGTGTGTGCATGGTGTGGGGGGGGGGGATTCCGTGGTGGGATGCGTGCGCTGCGCTGCTGCCGGGCCGCCGCTGGACGTTTGTGCGTCGCCGGCTGCCGCTGTCACGCCTCCCCACAAGAGCGAATTTATATCGAGGAGCCTATTGGTCAGTATACGGGGCAGAAAGTGTTAGCGTACGACTCGACCCGTTGTGACTCAGGCACGCCCGACATCAACACTCATGTGAGCCACAAGGGTAGGATGAGACAGGTAATCGGGGCATTGGCGGGACGGTAGGCCCGGTCAGGCGCCATGCACGTCTATCTACCCATATATGGTTGTGCACCCTTTACCACGGTAGCCTACCTGCAACGAGGTCTCGCGATCTGAACTCTGAGGAAGCTCCTTGGCTAGACGGGTGCCGACTGCAAGGAGCTCTGCGATAAGAGATGGCTTTCTTAACGTTTTGGCGTTTTTGGAGTGAAGCCGCGGTGTTGCATGGCATCACAGCAAAGTATGTTCGACGCAGGCTGAATACATCTGACCATGGCTACTTATAAATACTGTGTAATAATCGTATTTTCCTTTAGATCCCCTGTCGAGAAGCCGGGAATATGTTGGTCGTCCTGGAACGCTTTGCCATTAAGATATACCACTTCATGTAAATTCGTACACACCTCAAAACCACGAATAAATTGTAATGCCACCCTAACAAACGAGCGCAAAATTCGTTTAGGCAAGAACTACGGGAGGATTACTAGCAATTTACGAAATGAACAAGGACGATTAAGATCCTAGTAGTTCATTGGAAGCTGCAAGAAAATCCCTTGCTTTGAGGACACCAGTACCAGCGAGCCCCCTGCACTGGCTCTGCAGGCACAGGTTGTGGTGTGATTGTGCGGGATGTCCGCCCTCGCCCTCGTCTCCAGAGCTCTGCATCTGACTGGGTGCCGGGGGGCGTCACGTGACTGCGGGTCTCCCGATTCGCCGGGGGTCAAGGGTCGGCGGCTGAGGCGGCGGCAGGGGCCCGACCCTCGCGGGTGTCAGTCGGTTTTTGGACGAGTCCTGGCGGGCGCGTCGCTACGTTCTCCTACACAAGTATATCCATGGCATCCCAGCAGCAATGCCCAGTGAAATGCTAACATGCTTAGCCAATGTTCGTAATCTCTGCCAGCTCTCGCCTAGCTGCTTCACGCACAGCCTGTTTGTTCGACCAGCCTGTAGTTGGTGTCCGTGCAACAAAAACAGTATGTGAAATGTCGCCAAGCGTGTTAAAAACCTCATACATTAAATATATGTATGGTTCGCAGTGAAAGGCTGAGCTTTTAGTAAGAGTTTCGATAACATTGGTTTAGTAGTCCAATTTGACAGCCCCGATCCCTATGCGTTGTTATGCTGAAAATAAACCACCTTCACTTAACAAGAAATTGCCCTTTGTTGACATCCGCGCCTGACTTGGACCTGCCAGGACCACGACCTGTAAGGTCGTGGGCCTTACAAGGCGCGTCTAGCTCTGTACACCAAAAGACCCACTATTCAACTGCCGACAGCCGTGCAGTTCGGCGCGGCTACACCGAGCCTTTACGAAACTGCAGCGTGCTCTCTCGGCATTGTTTGGATCGTGTTCGGACCCATGGCCTTGGTCCTGTCAACAAGTCGACCATGCTTGATTCCAGATGTGGAAAGTAAGTCACAGCACTTGCATACCTTTGGTGAAAAGTCTCGGTAGTAACACCACCATAATTGCCGCCACAATTTTGGGATCTGAGAGGAGGTTCCACGTTTGAATGGGGTATCAAAATGAAATAACCGTTTTGTCGATAATTCGGTGCAGTTCACAGCCCTGCCTTTTTTAAGACCGATACCCCTCCAGATTCTGAGCTACGCGCCCGCATAGATGTGCAACCTATTTCGTGCATACTATTTCAAGGTCACCCAGGCATCGTTAACGCCGTAACAACTTCATTCAAATCCCGTTATTGCGCTGCCCATGCGGCGATCAAGGCCAATAAAGATATTACGGACGAGTCGTTCATATCTGGCGTTCATGAGCCCGATTTCCAAATGAAACGGCCGTCAATTAGCTCTCAACGAATGTTGTGTAACGTACGATGACACAAACAACGTCACAGTGAGGAGCATATTCACTAAAAAGATAAGTTGTGTGGTCTAAAGCAGTTTTTTCACTTAAAAGTAAACCATTATTTGATCCTATCTGATAATTGTTTTGCTATCTTCAAATGTAGAACATACCCTTTGAAGTTAAGTGGTAGCGATACCATACAGGACAATGCGAGCTTTTTATTCTTAATATACAAACAGCATAGGACATTATCATGCATAAACAAGAGGGGGAAATTTGACTGTGGTGATCATTGTTACACTCGTATCTCGAGACACGCCCTGACATACCGCGGACTCAGTGTATGACGAGAAGTCATCCGGCTAGGTCAGCGACCTTCAAACAATGTCACTCGCTATCCAGCGGTTGTTCCTCAGAAGTTCGATATGACAACACATTTGTGAAGTTTCGGACTTGCTTGGATATATGTGGCTTCCACGAAAGGCTTGGTGTTCAGGATCCCTCTTAGGTAACGCTATCTTCCACCAGTCTAAAACTATTCTCGGTTTTCCAATCGTCAAGAGCACCGTGCTCCAGTCCGGCGCTGGTCGCGACCGCCATCTGTTTGCTACCAAAAGTAGCCTCCCCCGCCGGACTGGTTGGAGACAGCTCCAGCGTCGGAGGTCGAGCTCTGGCCCAGGAGGCCGCCGAGCTGCGCATTGTTGGCATACGCTGAGTTTTCGCTGCGGCCGCCGTTCGCGGCGAAACCCTGCAAACAGAGAACGCATGCGTCACATTCTGGGCTGGAGAACAGGATGGAGCAGGCGACTCCTAGTCGCCGCGTCGCCCTTTTCACCGACTGTGGTGCTTACTCTGCAGTTACTTTTCGCAGCATGGCCAAATTCAGAAAGTTTATACATCGATCGTTATAATGTTAAAACACAATGCACGAGTCGCCAAAAACGGATTGCCGCATCTGCCAGCAGAACACACCAGCAGAAGCTCACCTGTGCTGTGGCTTTAACGTTGGTGATTGAAGACAAGCCGGCCGGGCCCAGAGTTTGACCCGTAACCACATTGCCCTGGGCAGATCCCCTGGCTACGCCGGGGCTTGGGGGTGCATAGATGAGTCCGCTCTGCCAGGGAGCATGAGCGGGAACTCCGCCCTGCCAGGGGGAATTAACAGGAAGTCCGCCCTGCCAGGGAGCATGAAGGGGAAGTCCTCCGCCCAAGGGATATCCGAGGGGAGCCACGCCCCCGTTGGGGTAAATTCCAACATTTCCATAGCCGATCCCGTGGGGGAAGCCCCAGCTGACGATGTTCATGGCGCTGAAGAGGATGGCGAACCGCTTCATGGCGACCTGAGGAGTAGAACTGGTGAGGTGCGCCAGAAGTCAGGAAACACAGTTTGGTATCGTCGACACGAGCTGAGTTAGATGCGTTAAGCAGTGGTGAAGAAGCTTCCGATTTATTGGATATGGTCGGTCACAAAAATGACACTTTTTGTGAGCTGTTTTGTGACAAAATTCAAAAGAAAAACGAATGCAGCAAACCATAGCCTTAGCATTGGTCTGCACTCGCCAACACTTGAAGCGCGTGCTCGTCCAGAATATGTCAGAACATTGCCGTGAGCGGGCTGAGTCACCAAATATTTCCAAATATTGCAGCTTCCGTCCGGATTGTTGGAAGAAATGGGCAGAAATATGCAGCAAACTATACTATATCAGTGCTGATGTCACAGATCAGTGGTGATGCAGTGTTTTTCCATGTCCGTCAGACCAGTGCTTTTCACATATTGGCCATCCAAGATTTCTGTAAGATGACAAACAGTATGAACGAGTAACAGATAATTAGACTCATTACTAGCCGTAGGAACGGTGGCTTGCTTCAGCACCTTGAGCCGGACGTGATCAGTCTGCTACGAGACGTTTTGAAAAGTAGCGCCACTTCAGACGGATAGCTTCGAATGGTGGAGACACGGTCGTGAGCTGGGTTCAGTGAAAGACCGTATGTACATGTGCATAAGCTGCCGCTGGTTGTGCTTGGGTCGTGAGAAGCTCATCGGCTTGTGGAAGCTTATCGTCACTTTCTATGAGGAGCTGTACGGCTCTTCTAGAGATCTACCATGCCGGCCGGGCGGGCAGGAGTGTTTGAAAACCTCGCTGATCTAACAGGTTTGCTATTTACGGATACCCTAACTGTAACTTCAGAGGCCAACGATGGACATTGAAGTGGCGCATGTCAGGGATTTATCTGGAGCCCCCTGCCCCTGAGAAGAACAGCGGCTTTGAGGTGGTAAGCCGCTGGTTGAACTGGGGCAAGGGTGCAAGGGGTATGACCTGAACTGCATAATCTCGTTTCAAGCTATGTATGATGTTATTCTTTGGCGAATGAAAGTTCATGTTTATCGGGAAATGTATAGCTACAGAAACGTAGCGTTGCAAAATACATAGGAGGTGGGCGAAGGAGGAGGCTAAGCAAAGAAAAATTGCTGAGCCTTTCTCCCAAGTGTACTAAAAACAAACCTGCTCCCAATTTATCCCACTTTCTTTTCAGATATGATAGCTGGAGCGTGGTTTTGGAAAGTGAGTTCCGGGAAGCTAAGACCTGAAAGACTTAACATACCTACAAAATGCATTTACAAACGGCGTTTCTCCCCGGATTTGGCCTACTTTTCGTGCCACTGACTAATACCGGATGGGATGCGAGACGCTGGGGATATCGTGCAATGCACTCTGCCGCTTCGAAACAAAGAAATACAGAGCCTGGCAAGAAAACAATAAGATGGTCTCCATGAGATCATTGGTAATGGATTATATGCTGCCTGTTGGATAATTGACCCTAGTAGGCAAAGTCATAGGCTAAGTCTTCCTGAAAATTGACCTTTTCAGTTTTGCATATTGATTTATCCCGCGCTCGGCCGGGGAAGTTGAATTTCCCTCTTTTTTATCTAGCACAGGTAAAAAACGACGGCAACACCAGATTTTCAGTACCTGTTTATCAATTACTTGAACACCCCTTGTTCAGATTTGAAGTTTGACCAGAAACCTATGCCAGGTCAAAGAGGTGAGCCTCGAAGTTTGTTTTGAGTTTCGGTTTTAAATGGGTACAGTTTGCGCTGTCATATTTTTTCAATAGGCGAGCTCATTGACCTAAGCTCGGTTCAATTTTGGTTTGTCGTAAATATTTGACGTTAGTGCTCATCTTTTTGTGCAGTTTTGATGTTTCAATACAAGGACAAGGGTAATAAATCACAGCCACAACCGTGATAAGACCACAGAGCACATGAACTTGGCCCAGGTCATGACCTGCCCCCGTGGATGCCTTCTGTAAAACACATGCTGATTGCCAAACAGGCAGTTGTATTATGTAGTTTTCGGCGCGGTATTCGAGTAGCGCACTGAAAGCATGCCGTGGTATCGTTCTACTCCAGATGAGGTCAAAACTGGTCAAGTGAGGACATGCAAGGTCATATGAGATCAGCCAAAGTCGATCACCTCTGTTGTTAGCCGCGGAGAGGCTAGATGAACGAGTGCGACGCGTGCAACCACCTCCTTATCGTGTTTGTGAAGCTGATGACATATAACCCGATGTGCCAAAGCTCCCCTTCTACTTGTTACAGATGCATCGCCAAATGTTGAAGGGACTTTGTATAATGTATAGGACAGGTATGTTATTTTGAGTACCTGTGAATGTACAACCCACTATTTCTGACCACAGAAAAGCATTGCACTGGTCACTTAGACCAGGTTGGCACTTCAATTTTTTTAGGTTGGATGGTTTATAAATTTTACCTATGTTGACCTCAGCTAACCTCTAGGTCAGCCTAAAGGAGTTATTTTATATCTGAAACACTTTTTCTAACAGGTACACCTAATACGATGGACGTAATCAGAAGCACATTATGAAAGAAAAAATATCGGTCTTGTAATTACTGACAGACCAAACTTGAACGGTAACCTAACCTAACCTGACCCTTGTGGGGAAACATAAATGATCGGAATGGACTTCGCAAAGTCTGAACACTCACTTTCTTGTCCTCAACATCCGTATTGACATACTCAAGCACGTTTTAACCGCATCTATCAGAGCGACCGTGTTTTACCTTTCTTGTAATCTGGTGATCTCACATTTGGCTCGAGGTCACAACTTAAGCGTGCATTTTTCATGATTTGATAGGGCCTTCACAACGGCATCTTTGTTTTTCTCGTCCAACGTACGAAAATTGGAAACCCCAGGGGAGCTGAACTTCCCGGACGCGCGCGGGCGTCCCAAACCCAGGCCGGGCACGGCTTAAAGGGAATATTTGTATATAATTTGTATATAATAATAATATGTGAAGACTTTGAACCAAGCATCAGATATGATGAAACAGGCTCACTTGTAACGATTGGTATACTTTTAAGTAGGAAAGACGGCATAGACTTTGTTTAGTGAATTTGCCCCTCAATGTGTCATGGCTTGATTACATTATCATGCCCTGCATGACATTGATTGAAAGCCAATTGACGGCCGTTATATCTGGAAATCGGGCTCACAGATGCCAGATGTGAACGTATATATGATCGATAATTACATTTTTATCGGTCTTGATCGCCGCGTGGCTTACTGAATGGCAGGTTTTGAACGACGTTATTATGACGTCATGAATGCAAAGGTGACCTTGAAATACTCGCCCCGATATACCTTTCCCCACTTTGGCGGGCGTGCAGCTCAGAAACTAGAGGGCCTTAGTGCTCAAGAAGGGTAGGATTGTTTACAGTACCGAAAGATCTTCAAGATGGCTTTTTCGGTTCAAAACCTCATGCAAATTTGCAACACCCCTTTGAACGAGGCCATGCTCCGTGACGACTCGACACATAAACAGGCGGGCTTCTTGCTAAATTCGTAACATAACGACACGCAGTTTTGCATGTTTAAGCTTACATTTGCAGCGTAGGGCTCTGTTAACATAACGGCGTCGGTCTACCGCGCACCGCCCGCGGAGCAGTCGGCGCCGACCTGCGATCCCCGCTGGCCATGGTCCGCCTTGCAGTGCTCCTAAAACACTGCCGCTTCTAAGAAATCGGAAATCCCAGGTTTACATTTTAGGTGTCAAAACACGCACAAGGAGTGCCCCAAAAGCGGAGGAAATTTGGGCGCGATGGCACGACATGATGGCGAGGCCTGCTCAGAAAATCTCAGCGCGAGCGTCGCACCTCCCCCTATCAGAGTGATGCTTAGGCTTGTGCTGTGGGGTGATTGCATCCCCATTTCAAACCGTACTGCATGATTATTCCTGCATTTATCGAGGTTTTGGCGTCGTTCCAATATGTATCCAAATAGTCCATGGGATATGTTACGTGCCATGTATGATGATACGCCCACTGGCCATAAAAGCCCTCGTCTTTTTCCGCACACGCGACGTCTGAGGCCTTAGCCAAATCAACACGCCTGTCGGCTTTACGCTCGTTGCACCAGCAGTTCGTGCCGTGATACTTACGTTCCAAACACCGGTGCTTTTGGCATGGACGGGATGGAACTGTCGAATATGACAGAACTGACGGAATGTGAAGCTGTTGCAAGTGCAACTCCCCAAAACGAGCACCAACTAAACTAACGTTCGTGCTGTGATGAAAAAAGATGTTCGTGTTGCTTATGACTCACTGCATTTAACTTGTCCTTGATGGGGTTTATCGCATTTTAGTTATATTACAACGGTTTTGGATGCATTGGCCCCAAGTGACAAATGAGTCGTTTCCGAATTTCGTAGGCGCCAAAAAAACACTCCTCACCACTGACGTTAAGAACAGAGGCTCGCAATGTTCACACGGTTGTATGCATCTTGGGCGTGCAAAACGTATATCGCTCTGAACATTTTTGTATGTTGCGTTTAAGAACATGGTTCGGTTAAATGGGTGCCGTTTTTCAGCCTGATTACTGGTCGCGTCTATGAAAGGGAAGGTTCCACATTTGTATGGGGTTTTGAGCTGAAGCAGCCATCTTGACGGCCTCTCAGGGCACTTCACAATCCTGCCCTTCTCAAGGCCTTAAAAATCTCTCTAGTTTCTGACCCACACGCGCACGAAAATGGGGAGAGCATTTCGGGAGAGTATTTCCAGGCCACCTTGGTACTTATGATGCCATGATAGCGTCACTGAAATATTGCAATCCCATAAGCCACGCGGCGATCAAGGCCGAGTAAAATGTAATGGTAGGGTCGTTCATGCCTGGCGTTCGTGACCACGATTTCCAGATCAAACGGCCGTCAATTGGCTCTCGATCAATGTTGTGTAGGGTACGATGACGTAATCAAACAATGACGAATCGAGGAGCATATTCACTAAGCAGAGAAATTTTGTTGTGTGGAGCAGTCTTTGCTACCTAGAAGTAGAACAATAGTTATAAGAGAGCCTGTTTCACCACACCTAATGCTTGCATTAGTATTTTTACATTTGGAGCCTTTCCTTTGAAGCCGGGAACAATTGTTCACCTTTTGTTTCGCAACGACGGCTGAATCACATCTTTATTTTTTTGCAGTTCTATGTGAGCCCATGCTATATACTAAAAATGCCCATTTAGAAAAGACGCATCGGATTCCTTAACATGTTGCCCAGTTTATTGCGTGACCTTCCGCTAGGCAAGGTGTCATACTATCTGCACCTTGCGCCTTGTCGCAACAGATACATTTAGCCAATTAACTTGATCTAAAATCAGTTTACTAAAAAACATTTCATTTTCATTCTGATAAATATGTAGCTATCAATATTGTAACTAAGCCGCTGTGTGGTTTGCCGTATGGGGCGATGCAGCGCTCATCTTTCACGGTATTTGCCGCGATGTGCAATGCCCAAAAACCGGATGTAGAGGTCTGGCACGTGACGTGCATTTCCACCAAATCCGGCGCCATATAACGGATATGTGTTCCGTGCTAGCCTGCCATAACAAAGCACAGTCTTCCTTCACCATATTACATGACCTGATTTGAGTTCGTTTAGTCTCATGGAGTCCGTTCAGGACTCAATAACTCCCGACGACAACTAAAAAATGAACTGACTGGAACGTTGTGTGCGTGCCAACACATCGTACGAGAGCGGTAGTCCGTGCACGGACTCCATACGCAATGCTCAAACCCCGCTTCACTTAGTAAAAAAAAAACAGCAACAAAAAACTGAAATCTATCGCTGCAAATCCGAAGCGGCATCCTTCGGGTGTAGGCGGGTGCAACTGACTACCAAGCGAGCGCGCATTACGCAACCTTTGATCTCCGTGTGCATATATATATATAGACAGCATGACCATTCATGCAGGACTGAAAGCACCAATTAACGTCAAAATCAAATGAGTCAAACTGATGGGAGAAAAAACGACCCACGTTCTGGTAAGAAAGCCAATTACCTTCCACCACAGGAACAAAATTTATGTGGGGCAATCAACACCGAGCGTGGAGTCAACGTTCACATAGTAAGAACCAGCTTCGACCACATATAGAACTCATTCAAAAGTGCTCATGCAGCCAAAGGTCAAAGGGTGGCAAAGGCTGACATTCAAACGATGGAGACACTCAAACACAAGAAAACATTAAAACCAAACCACAAACAAACAAGGCGATGCCGGAAACAAGTGACGGACATCAATCACCGCAAGAGGAAGCAATAATGAACAAAGGATTAAATTTGCCAGCTTCAAACGCGCAAAAACTACCTGCACCTTCCGAATCGAGAGGAAGCAGTGAGACAAGCCAAGTGCAGCGCGTGACAACCATTGAAATAGGCCCAACTCCCAGAGGCCAAGTGTGACCAACGAGATCCAAGTAAGAAGTATAACCATAAAATACAAAATATAACCATGACCCCAAAACCATATAACCATCACCCCAAAACCCATCGTCGTCTGCCGGGCCCATCTCGCCATCCGCAGGTAATTAAAGTAATCCTCTTAGTGGAAAACCCCGACTCACTACCGCTCTGCTTCGACGTGGTGTCCTGTTCACCAACGTGCAGCTCATGACGCCCTCAACGTTGCGCTGATCGCGTTGGGGAGCGACGAGGCGCTTTTGAAAGGGCAGGTGTGCAAACGAACAACAGCGTGGAGGTGCTCACGTTCGGCGTGATCGAACAATGCTGTCAGGAAACCGAGGAGGTAGCCGTAGGACCACCTCTGCCAATGAAGGCTCCAACATGCATTTGAAAGATTTCGAGGATGTGGTAATAGCAACTGCATCACTCAGACCAGCAGTGTGTCTAAAATATGTCGACGACCCTAAAAAGACGTAACGACATTCCTGGACCACATCAGCGACTGGAGATCATCTACCCAGCCGGCGAGAACAGGCCATTGTCCCAAGACGCTCAGATCGAGGCGACCAACAACACGTTCACGGCATGAGTTGGCCGAAATCGATAGCACTTGATCGCACCTGGACTTCCAGTCAAAAATCAGTAAGACCTGGACTTTCAGTCACACCGCGTGACCTAGGTATTCCCCAGGCCACGGGTGCATCATGGGCTTTATGGACTAGGAGCCCAACAAGTATGCTGAAAAAGCAGAACAGCCAAAGGAAAAACCAACAGCAGCGGCGTTCATACCTTGGATTGTCCCACCAGTTGTCCAAGTAGCATTGCAAGCTATTGCCAAAAACACCGAAATATCTGTTGTGAAACTGGTTGACACCGAGGGCCAGACTCCAGCAACTCTCTCCTTATTTCAGCTACTGCTAGTGCCATCGCCGATCCAGGCCGAGCAACGACGCTGCTGCAGACACTCACCTGCTGTCGTGGAACGGTGCAAGTACTGGGCGCTGCCTTCAGGCACAGCTGGGTGTTTTATACACCTGTGAAGACGTGGTGGCGTGTTGGGCTTTCCGCCGATCCTCTCTTTATCTTCAAATCCGCATCCTTCTACTTATGAAACGCTAAGCCACGTCTGCATGATCAAGGAAGCTGAGCAGGACCGTCACGTGGTGGCGTTGGTAGGAGCTGGGAATTTCCACCAGGAGTGGAATGTTCTCGAACAGGATCGGGGTTAAGAGCGGGGACCTCCACCAAAGTGAAACCGTGGATGGAGCAGGCTGAGAAAAGTTCATGTCAGCAGGCTGCCACGGCTACCCCAACATACGTATTTTAACTGTGAAGCATATACAAATAGAGAAAAAAGAAATCAAACTAATTTCAAAGAAAATTTCGCATTACCTGCGCTTGGAGCATGACGACATTCCTGGGCTTCTTAATTGACCTTCTGCCTTACATACCAAAATTATCGATGATAGACACTCTAAGTTACACTTGCACCCCGACAGAGCCAACCCTCAGATGTACCAAGCAGCAACGTTTCGGCTCAAGCACGCCTGACGAAGGACTGTTCGCATCTGAAAATTAAACCTGAAGCCCCAGTGATGGATATCTTTTGGAGAGCGCCGATTAGATGGCCACCGTATGTTATTTCATAGAAATTTGGTATGATCCATGTCACGCTTGCCATGCCACATTGTTTGCATACCATTAAACTAATGGGAAACGGAACGGCCATTTCTTGACTTAAGCGGTTGAAGAAAGCGGCCTTTGACCATGCCATGAGGCCTACAGTGCATACCTGAACTGCGTGCGTGCGTGTGTGCGTGCGTGCGCGTGCGTCATTGACGGATGCTGGAAAACGGACATTTGACACCGAGCCTCACGTCTTTTAGCTTTGCCTACACTAGACCTCGGAAGAGGAAAACATTCCTCAACCTTTCTCAACGTTGTGCGATGTGAAAGTGTAAAGGGGGACGGGTTAGCGCTGAGTAGGCTAATTTCTAAACACGCGCCCATGTCGCCGATTAGTTACTACATGCTCTAGTGGTGGTCAATTTAAACGCCTGATATCTAAAAAAAAAAACTATGGGAGCAAGCGACACCAAATTCACATGGTGTGTTGAACTGTATATGAGCTCGCTTATGTCAAAAACGTGAGGCTCCTGTGTCACGACTTTGGGTCAATTTAGATGTCAAACAAGTTCGAACTCCACATTTATGTCTGAATTTTCCCCCAGACCTCCTCATGCAACTGCCTTGTGCCTGGATACCTGTTCTAAGCAAAGGTCACTGGCGTTAATTTTAGGTCAGTGACCTTGTTTGGTTTTTGAAATGTCGTGGTGACCAAAAACTCAGGAAATTGTTTTGGTTTTTGAATTTGTGTCAGCAACAAGGATTACACCAGGCGGTATGTTTTTTAAAAGTAATAGGTTAATCTAAGGCACTTGATGCCAGTGACCCAGTCTGACCTTTAAAAGTAATAGATTAATCTAGGGCACTTGATGCCAGTGACCCAGTCTGACCTTTAAAAGTAATAGGCTAATCTAGGTCACTTGATGCCAGTGACCGAGTCTGATCTTTAAAAGTAATAGGCTAATCTAGGTCACTTGATGCCAGTGACCCAGTCTGATCTTTAAAAGTAATAGGCTAATCTAGGTCACTTGATGCCAGTGACCCAGTCTTATCTTTAAAAGTAATAGGCTAATCTAGGTCACTTGATGCCGGTGACCCAGTCTGACCTTTAAAAGTAATAGGCTAATCTAGGTCACTTGATGCCAGTGACCCAGTCTGATCTTTAAAAGTAATAGGCTAATCTAGGTCACTTGATGCCAGTGACTCAGTCTGATCTTTAAAAGTAATAGGCTAGTCTAGGTCACTTGATGTCAGTGACCCACTCTGACCTTTCAAAAGTCCATGGAAAATGTTTGTTGCGATCCCTGCTATGAAGAAATTGGAAATGAGTACCAGAAATAATCTCATAAGGCAGGCACTCCAGTAAAAAGCAGGTTGGCTTCCCTTGGTTGACTTCATACCTGGCCCAAGGTTAATATAATTTGTCGTAATAAGACATGCAATGGCCATATTATCCAAAAAACAATCCCAGAGATAACTAATTTCGTCTAACACTCCGGTGTCACATCTGATTGAACGATTCCAAGGCAATTGTCTTCGCTGACTGCCACGGCCTGACTTTGACCTGCCGCAAGTTTGCGATCTTACCAGGTAATTCCATTGGTTATGCTTAGATCCGCTGGTCGATTAAATACAGCTATGCATAGTTTAGGGCGGCTGCGCTGCGCTTTTCGGAAATTATTCCGAAAAAACCTTAAGGGGTCAAAATGGCCCACCAGCCGAGCGCGTGTTTAAGATTAAACATGCCATGACGATGCTGGGAACACAATTCCGTGATTCTTGACAAACTCTGGCAGATGGGCGGGCATGGTCATCAATACATGCGACCTGTGATGACGCTGTGTTGACGCGGACGCTGAGGCGCCGTTTTCAGAAAGGTATTGTTAAGAGTTCAATTCAGTGTACAAGGATGGACCAGCCACCCGCCAAAAAAGCTCAAAAAAGTAAAACTGGCCAAAATTATTTAAGTTTTTAAATAAACATTAAATAGATATTGCTTACAATCACTCCAGGCGCTACTCGTGTCGCTGCACTTCTTCAACCGAATGAAAAAAAGAAAATGATGGCGTGATGTGTATCAGGATCGCGTCAGTGAGGTGTACCACAAGCTTCCGTGAAAGCATCCACAGCTCACAGTTCACATCGACGTCCGCTACGCTTGGCTGTCATTTGGCTCGACGATGGCAGCTTACTCGGATGGTGGGTAGAGATGGAAACGAATCGTAAGGAAGTCAATAATGAGCAGCACGGGCTCCCCTGAAGAAGTAAACATCCAGTTACATTTAATTTAACATTTAACATCCGTCCGGACTTAAACATCCCATTTTCGATTCAACAGGGCTCTTTGCTAGATAAAGGGGTTGTTCTATGCATCACAAACCCTTCTTTTAGAACGGGAGCCCTGTTGAAGAGTGAGGAAGCCCTTTGCTGGACCCTGAGACCTGTCTCTATAAACCAGAGTTTCTATTCTGAATGCGAAGTTGTTCATTTCCATCCTTATGAATACTGATACCTGTAGTAAAATAAATGGAGGGGCACGCACCTTTGGTGTCCTCCCCCCCCCCCCCCCACCCGACCCACTGAATACAAAGCTGCCCAGGATACCCCGATTTTGTCCAGAAAGCATCCCGTAAACTCATGCCCCTCCCTCCTCAGAATGCGTGGCACCGCTGCTGCTGTCGACTACCATGCTGCTAAAAATCTCTGCTAACAAGCCTACAGAGGCTTTACCCTATACACTCAAGGGACTTTGCTCTTGCTGGCTTTTTTCTGGCTACTTATGCAAAAAAGTTGCAGTACGTGTAGGGGTGGGACATACCGTCATTTGGGCTGGAGTTTTGCTTAGGCCGAGACCATGGTCATTTAACATCGATCGATTACGACCTATCAGTGATGATTGATAGGGCCAACCTATTGTAGGTTACGAGGCCCAAAAAGTCGGCGAGCAGCACTCATGAAGTGGCGCGCTTGGGAACGCGAAAACGATGCCAGCCAACGCCGTGATAGTCATCTGGGAAAAATGCAGGGATTTCCAAGTAGGTAATACGACCGAGGAGGACGGGTGGGCGGAACAGCACAGGGAGGGATCGGCAGGGGGGGGGGGGGGCGAGACAAGGACAGCAATCTGACCGAACTGAACAGGGCGGAGCACGCGCTGAGATCAGCCGAGTCTGCGTATCATCACTGGCAGTGCTATGGACCTTTACTAGCATACGAACAAAAGCTGCCGCTTTTAGACCCGCAAGCCGGCATCACGCTTACAAAAAGTCCGCAGGACCCTAAGTGAGTACTTCTGCCACATCTGGCGGATCTTTGCAGACGCCGGAACGCCGGTCACCCGCGGCTCATTTCTCCACGTATCCTCTGCCTTCAATGCAGTGCTTCCAGCGGCTTACCAGGTGTTTCATGGCCTCACGGAAACCTTGAATGGGCGCATGCTTGCCAGACTGGCTTGTGACGGATCCCAGTGGGGATCGTAGCGTGCAGCGCCCCCGCGTGGTGCTCCTTCAGCCGAGGGAACTGCCAGAAGTTTCTTGGTGTAAGGTTCGGGGAGCACTTAGGGTGCTGCAGCGACTCCATGTTGTCAACGAGATTTTCATTCATGGCAATAAGATTAAGCACAACATAAGGATTTCACTGCCGAGCAGTGAGGATTCGGCGGGTGAACTGTCGTGGTTCTTGATGTAGCATTTCCTTGGTCATTGTTCCCCTATATCGCCAATTAAGAAACGTGATAAATATATCGCGGTACAATGTCAAGTTTCTCTATGTCGCGATCTCAATATGACAATGAGTCAATGGTTTTCACTTAGATGTCACAGTGCGACAGTCACAGAAGCATAAAAAGTTAAATTTTGCGAGGACTGAGGGTGTACAATGGCTAACTTTATATAAACATATATTTTTGTCGTATGGGTGTTCTCGCGACCAGCTTTTGCATCACCTTGAACGTTGAAACGACATCGTGTTCAGATGGACGTCCTAGGTTGCACACCCGCCAGCGGCGAACAACTTCCCAACGTGAAATCAATGTCACATCCAGCCTGTTGAACGTTGACTTGCTTTAGAGTTGCAATAAAATATTTGGACATAATCTTGACCAACACGAAATGTCACCTCAATGTTGTGTGCTCTTAGGATAATCACCTGAAGACGCTTGAAGTTACCGCTTTGCATGGACAAGACTCGTGTAACAGATTATGCGTTCCCGTCGGCAAAGGATTTGTACGTCCAGGAAGTTTACTACGACTGCTGACATCATGGATTCTCGTGAAGGTTTGATAAGCCATTGAGCTGCGCGGCGTAGTTTGCCCGGTAAGTATGTGTAGGCGCTTACGCAGATGCAGGTGACCGGATCACGTA